GCAAGATCTGGCTGTCCAAAGCAGCTCAGGAAAAGGGGGAACAGAGAAAGGATACAGAGAGGAAGGTAAAGCGATGTAAAGAAGAGGAATTTTCACGTAAGGGCTGAGAAAATACCGGCTTTAATTCTAGTCCCGTCCCTGGCAAGTTACTTAGCGGTACTGTGAGATGGGAAAAGGACAACTGTTGCCTTCAGTGGGACAAAACCCACCACGAGCAAATCTGTCTCTATCATCAAACCTGTGGCTTCTATTTCCTTTTCAAGCACAATGCTGTCTGCCGACCCTTTGCTTCTGGGATAATACAAAAGCCAAACCGCCTGGCTTGGGGGGAACAGGACCTGCGTTTCCTTCTTCCTTTTACGATTTCGAAGTCAAAGAGGAGCAGTTCCCTGACACGGCTACGATTCGCCACCCCCCTGCTCTGCCACGCAGATGGAAGGGGAAAATGTCATTGCCCAGACTTACACACGCATGTCCATAAACGCAAAATCTCAAATAAATCCAAAATTAACTCCCTACCCAGCCTGTACCTTTTGCAAAGGAGCTGCCGGACCCTCCGGGCAGGAGGGAAATACTCCACATCCATTTTGAGCTGGTGGAAGGGGCCACACACAGACCCCCAAACTAAAAGACCCTGGGAATATTACAATTCTCACTGGTTCTAAGGGTTTGAAGGGTGGGGAGGGAAAGGAGACTGCAGAGCCGGCGATGGGGGAGGACGCAGCGCTGCAGCAGCCGGGATTAGAGAAATAAAAATTAAACCTGCCCAAGAAACTCAGGCCCAAAGAGTCCCCCCGTGCCTCGTCCACCACCTCCCAAAGGGCAGAGCCGCTCTGCCCCACACTGTGCCCCCCCTCTGCCATACCCACAGCCACATCCCACAGCCTCCCGGGGGGGATCCTGGTGGGAAAAGCAGCTTTTTGCCTTTTCCTGATGGTCAGACTGGAGGGAACGGGATGGGGAAGAGCCGAGCTCTGCGGCAGGGGGTAATGCCACCATCCTGCCCTGTGCCCCTGGCGGGAGATAAAGCGGTTTCTAAGGATAGAGGCGGTGACCCCGGTGGGTCCCCCAAGTGCCCCCCCCCCCCGGCTCGCTCCCTT